AATATTCTTTGGAGACCAACTTAATGGTAGAACTTCAACACAGTTCATATATTTGAAGCAAAACTCCAGCTTAGTGAGGTAACAGTAATAGCAGCTGAAATTCCTAAATGGGCCAAAGAGGAAAGTAATGCAGCATGCACATAACCAAGTGATACATATTTAAATAATTATGAATGAGTTTAGAACAATGGTTCACAGTCTTGGCTGCACTTAAAATACTTGGGAATCTTTATAAATGTCACATAAGCTGCACCCCAGTCCAATTAAATTAGAATCTTAGGGATTAGATCAGACATCAGATGTGTTTTCTAAAGCTCCCCAAGTAATTCTAAAGAGCAGCCAAAATTGAGAACCAATGGAGAAAGATACACTTTTTGGTTTACTAATACAGTATTCAGAGCCTGTGTTATATACTTTCCAAGAAACTTAGATTACTTTTAGAGTATTACTCTTAACCCAAAGAACTGGTGATTAGAGTTTTCATTAAATAGATGTCTTTGATCACATGCCTATTTTACTTGTCTTTTTTTCCTAAAAGCAGAGTTTGGAATCCAGGCTCCTTATTTAATAATGTAGGTTATGTGCCTATCCCGTAGCAAAGGAAAGATTACAGTGCCTGGTATAATGTAGCTGACTTAAAGACAATTCTTTCTGTAAAGCAATATTTAGAGAAAATATATAAAGGAGAGGGGATTAAACTTTCTGTCTTATGTCACTTTGCCATATTACAAATGAAATATGAAAAAAAATAAATTATATTTTAGAGAACATTGGGTTTATTAAGAAGGTGACTTATTTACAGTCTGCCTTTTATTCTAGGTTATTTACCCAAAAGTTATTAATTATTAAACTATACTGTTATGCTTACAGTCAACTAGTTTCTGATTAACACCTGTTATCAAGAGATTACAAAATCAGTAATGGTTTTTGACTTGAAGATGTTGAAAACTAAAATTTTTATGGTTAATTTAAAATTTTTTGGTAACTAAGAAAGGGATCTTTTTTAAAAAGAAAGAATTAATAGGTCTTTTGTCCTTCTGAAAAGGTGCCATTATTATAATTTTGTTTGTGTTAAGGCAGTATTATCCTAGTAGATCATAAAATCCTTGAGGGCAAGAAGCACATCATATGCTGATCATCTTGCAGTCAGAAGAAAATATATATAAGCCATAAATATTTTGATTAGTAATTTAAATCTTAATTTAGTTGAGATAGCTCATTTCTGTAGTAGATGCATTATTTACAGTGTTTTAGAGAAAATGTATTAAATACTATATTATTTTGTTATCTTAATACATTGTACATTCTGATTAATTATGGAAAAACCTTTTTGCTTCCACAATGATAAAATTGTGCGAAATATTATGTCTTTTACAATTATACATTTAAGTAACAAGATTTTAATTTATAATTTTAATTTTAAAGTATGATAGCATTGGCAGAGTCCTTATTGTGTGTCCTCCCCCTTTTATTCATTCATGATAGGATTTAGTTTACCCTTAATTTGGTGAATAATTATTGAATATCTTATAGGAAGCAGAAGTGAACAGGAGGAGAAAGCTGTCCAGAATGCTATAAACAGATATAGGGGAAAGGAAGCACAGACTATGATTGAATAATAGTAATAGAAATAGAAAATATTAATTTTTGAAATCAGCGAGTATTTACTGGAAGGGTAGTATAGCGTAATAAAACTATGACTCAGATGTGAGATTGAATCCCAACACTGACACCTTGGACAAAGTGTTTAATCACTCTGAGTCTCAATTTATTAATCACTAAAATTATGATTCTTACCTATATTTTAAGATTCTTTCGAGTATTTGATGTAGAGTGCACAGCTTAGTTAATGGAAATTTTGAACATACACTAAGCCTTGACACAGAAGTATAAGAAAGATGTAAATGGTCTTGTTGAAAAAATAAAACATTTAAAAAACTTAGAAAATGAAACAAAACTCTATATAATATGCTAAAATGTGAAACATAGGAACATTCTTCATGTGACCCTTCCTACAGTACTGCTATTTGCCAAACAAGTTTTCTGTAATCAGACTATCTCACTCATGTGTAAGGGTTCCATATATATTTTGAACTAGAATAGTTAAAAAAATAATAATAATAATTGTGTGTGTTTGTATCAGTTAACATATATTCTTTCTTCCTCAGACTTATACAAATAAATTACTTGGTGCAAATCCCATGTTTGCTCTGTTATACTTTCATACTCTTTTCACTAAAAGAATGTATATTTAGTGATATACCTGGGAAGCAGTATCATGAGAGTCACAAAGAAAATATTAAATAATTAAGCAAACAGGCCTTTTTACTGAAGATTGAAATGCTTTATTTTCCAAATAATTACCTTTCTAATTGCTGATTTTCCTGAAATACTGTCAGGAGAAAACTTGCCCTGAACCCCAATTTGTATCAGATAAATTCAGTGACTATTTTATTTTATATTTACTTATTTTATTATTAATTTATTAATTTGAGATAGGGTCTGGCACTGTCACCCAGGATGAAGTGCAGTGGAGTGCAGCTGGGACTGCAGGTGTGCACCACCATACCTGGCTAATTTTTTGTATTTTTTTTGTAGAGGCGTGGTTTTGCCATGTTGCCTAGGCTGGTCTGGAACTCCTGAGCTCAAGTGATCTGCCTGCCTTTGCCTCCTAAAGTGCTGGAATTACAGGCGGGAGCCCCTGCTCCTGGCCATAAATACTGATTTTAAATTATTGATCTGTTACTTTTTCTATTAATCTGTTCTTAGTTATTAACTATAAAGGATTTCTACAGAGAAATTAATATTTAATATGTGTGAAGGTGATGCCAATGAGCTTATAGAAATTGTGCAACTGGAAGATAAATCATCAGGACTGTACTCTCCTTAGATCCTAACATAGTTCATACCATTCAATTACAGGTCGTTTGTTACCTACTCAGAGATGCTGTTTCTCTAACTACCCCCAGCTCACACTCCTCAAACTCCTGCTCCCCTGTCTAGGCCCAAGTTGCCCATCCCTCCCCCACTGAAGACTTCCCTGTTTCTCCTGCTCGCCCTCTCCCTGAAGAATGAATTCTTTCTCTGTATGTTGATTTATGACACTCAGAAACAATAAAACCAACCATGTTGGTCCTCTCTTTACTATCTTTGTATCTTTATATCCTTATTATCAAATTATTTATCTATTGTCTGTCTTTGCCATTAAAATGTAAGCTTCCTAAGAACAGAAACCGTGTCTATTTTGTTGGCTGCTGAATGCATTTAGAAGAGTGCCCAACACATTCCTAAGAGCTTAATAAGTATTTGTTGAAGGAATAAATGGATATACTTGCTTATTAAAGGGAAATCTGTGCATGAGGTTTCAGTTTTTAAGGTGCTAAGTGAAGAATTTTTTTTAGATCATTCTTTATAGATGATGTTCACCTGAGTGAAAGGTAGTTCCTTTCTTCCCTTCCTATTGGTTGCTTTACCTGGGAGTTATTTTAACTAGCCATTGGTGGTAGACCTTGAATATATAAAAGTCTAGTAGGAGCTTTGTTGCTTAGAATCTTCAAGGATCTGTAAAGAATACCGGATTCTCTTTTAAGAATGAGGTTGCATAGTTTATCCAGCTGGCCTTGGGATCAGGGTTTGGTTTTGCTCAGTGCCCAATCCTGCAACTACACTGCAAGTTTATGGGCTCAGGCAATAGCTTTGGAACTGCTATTTTCAGTTCCACCCATTGGTTCAGGGGCTGGGGCTTTAGACCACTCTCAAAAAGACCCAAGGTTTTACAAAATCGATTTAAACTGTTGTTTCTAGCCCTCAAACAGGACCCTCAGTGGAGACTGTAACCAGAAGTCTAAGAATAAAATTTTAGAGGACCCTTCAGCTTAAGGTCTTGATAATAACCTGAAAGTATTAAACCAGCATCCAAGAAGGATGCTGAAAGAAACCCTAAAACTCAGAAAATAGAGCAGCAAAAGAGATTTTTAAGAAATGAAAGGAGAACAAGGCAAGGTGAACACTGTTTTGTTAGCAGAAGTGAGTCATTACTGAGCATAGAATTAATGCTGATTATATATCTGTGTTAAGATGGGAGAAAGCCACATATTCTAGAGGAAAATGATGCATGATAAACAGCTTGAGTCATCACCTCTAATGCTTAATTAAAAGTACCCAGAAGGATCTAGATCTACACAGAATCTTTTTACCTTTTTATTATTATATAGGCAATACTATCTTTCCTCAAATACCAGTATATCCAATAATAAAAACGGATTCGTTGAGTATGTTTAACCATTTGTATGACCTTTAAAAGACATCTTCATAGTATGAATAGGATATGTTCCAAAAGTTAGTCTATAAATAAATTGCTGGAGCATATCCTCAAAAAACAACTTAAATGACAGGTTTTATGGTATGTTCTGGGAAACTATTTATCTAACTAGGTGTGATTAAAGTGCCAATAATAAATAAACAACAATAAACATAAACAGCTCTTTTAAAACTTAATAATTACAAGGCACTGAACAAAGTGACTTGCATACACAAGTCTCTCTTTTATAAGAGAGGGTACTAAAGAAGAAATATTCAATGCCTTGTTCAGGTCACACAACAAGCAGTGAAGTCAAGATTTGAATTCAGATCCAACTGACTCAGAGCTCTTACTCCTTATCATTATCCTAGTCTACCTAGGATAGGTAGTTGAAATAGTTGCATGCTTTATATACCAAGTTGTTAAATTTTCTATAGAATTCACACCATACATTTGAGCAGAACTAAGGATATGTGATGACTGTAAGGTAAGGTCATCCACAAAAGAGATATGGATAAATTACCATAGGGGCAAAAAAGCATTCATAAACAATGACTTACAAAGCTGAAACATGGTTATTTGTATGTATAGGATTGTTTAGCTTTTAATTTGTTGTGTTTTTGTTTGTTTGTTTGTTTACTTAATGATATGATTCCCTAATTTGCTGTATATTTAATTTTTGTTTTACAATCAATAACAGTTCACAGAAGAAAAGCTTGGCCAGGCTGAGAAGACAGAATTGGACGCTCACTTAGAGAACCTCCTTAGCAAAGCTGAATGTACCAAAATATGGACAGAAAAAATAATGAAACAAACTGAAGTGTTATTGCAGCCAAATCCAAGTAAGAAATTCTACCTCTTATCTACCTTAAGTACTATTAATGGGTTTTTTAATGTTAAAAAAAAGTTTTAATGGCTATCTGAAAACAGGATTTTTTTTTGTAGCTTCAGGGTCTGTGGGATTTTTTGTGTGTGCTTTTGTGAAGAGGAGGTGATAAACAATTCTGTACTCTAACATACTTAAAAATGACATTTTTCAGTCTTCTATAGAATCCTCATAAAACTCTCAATTTTAGGCCGGGCGCGGTGCCTCATGCCTGTAATCTCAGCACTTTGGGAGGCCAAGGCGGGCAGATCACAAGGTCAAGAGATCGAGACCATCCTGGCCAACGTAGTGAAACCCCATCTCTACTAAAATACAAAAATTAGCTGGGCATGGTGGCACGCACCTGTAGTCCCAGCTACATGGGAGGCTGAGGCAGGAGAATCGCTTGAACCTGGGAGGCAGAGGTTGCAGTGAGCCGAGATCGCATCACTGCACTCCAGCCTGGCGCCTGGCGACAGAACAGGAGTCTGTCTTAAAAAAAAAAAAATTCGATTTTAGGCAGTGACTTTGAATTTTAAGAGTTATGAGGAGCTATGTATATAAATATGTTTTTCTTTTTCATCTAGGGAAGAATTGTTCCTAGATAATTAGGACAAAGTTATATAGATGCTTAAATAGGTACCTTTTTTTATGTTTAAGTTTTACATTTTCACATAAATTATTTCATTTGATCTTCAGACAACTACAAGATTTTCAGATTAGTCAGCTCAATAACCTTGCAGTTAAGGTGCACAATAATTGTTTAGTGAATGAAACTCATGAGTTAGCATCTTGTCCAATGTAGCATAGCCAATTAGAAGTGGAAATTGGACTAGAACCAGGTGTATCAACATCCAGTCTTTTCAGTGTGAGCTTTGCATATCAAAACGGAAGAACAAAGGTACAATGTATGCTTTCCTATTTGCCCCATTGTTGCTTGGGACCATGTTGTGATATGCTGTAGAATTACTTTTAGATACTAACTTAAACTCCAAGCACTATACAAATATTAGTAACTCTCTATAATTTTAGTTAAATGGTAGTGACTTTTTAAATAAGGCTTTTGATTGAAAAACATGACTGTTGGGTTCTATGCTTAGTACCTGGGTGACGGGTCCATGTATACCCCAAACTTCAGCATCATTCAATACACCCAGGTAACAAACCTGCATGTGTACCCCTTGAATCTAAAATAAAAGTTGAAAATAAATAAAATAAGCTTTTTACACTTTGAGTGAGTCCTAATGTCTTTGGACAACATGTAATATTTTTTATTCATGTAAGGCCATTTAAATTATATACCCTGGCACTTTTTAAAAGCAATAGACATTTTTCCTCTTGTTCTAAGTGGCAGATAAGCTCATTCACAACTGGTAAGCAGGGAAATAAAATACAATTCCCTCCTGCCCCTGTTTTGTGTCAGGAAGTAGTAGTAAGAATCGTTTTTGTTTTTTGTTTGCACTCTGGTTTTAGTTTTCTGTTTTTGTTTTGTTTTGAGACAGAGTCTCACTCTCACCCAGGCTGGAGTGCAGTGGCATGATCTTGGCTCACTGCAACCTCCACCTCCCAGGTTCAAGCGACTCTCCTGCCTCAGCCTCCCAAGAGTAGCTGGGATTACAGGGTGTCTGCCACCACACCCAGCTAATTTTTGTATTTTTAGTAGAGACGGGGTTTCTCCATCTTGGCCAGGCTGGTCTTGAACTCCTGACCTCAGGTGATCCGCCCACCTCGGCCTCTCAAAGTGCTGGGATTACAGTCGTGAGCCACCATGCCCAGCCAGTGCTCTAGTTATTAAGTTACATAGATTTTGAGTAGCCAAACCCAACCCTCCTTTTCTTGTAATTCCTATGTTGTTTACAGTGTATGATCTTCTGGAAATGGGTTTTTCAAAAATATGTTATGCAAAAATACATATTGCATTGTAGCAGAATTGCGTGCATATTTTAAGATTTTATTATAACCTATTGAAATTAAACATTTATTAATATACCAAATATTTTATTAACTGAATGAAGTCAACATAATATTCCATTTTAAACTTTTGACCAGCTAGGTAGAAAAGCAGTCAAAATTAAGAATCAGAGTAAAGAAACGAAGTTTTGGAGGTTTTTTTTGTTTTTTTTCTGGGAGGGGGAGACAGAATCTCAGTCTTTTGCCCAGGCAGGAATGCAGTGGCGGCACAGTCTCTGCTCACTGCAAGATCCGCCTCCTGGATTCAAGTGATTGTCCTACCTGGGATTACAGGCATGTGCTACCACACCTGGCTCTTGTTTGTATTTTTTTTTTAGTAGAGATGGGGTTTCACCATGTCAGCCAGGCTGGTCTCAAACTCCTGACCTTAGGTGATCCTCCCACCTCGGCCTCCCAAAGCACTGGGATTACAGGCATGAACCACCATGCCCAGCCAAAAATGAAGTTCTGAAATTTAACTAGTATATTCTAAGTGTTTATGTTTTTAAAAAACTCTTTTTGGTTTTAACTGTTTAAAGGTATTTAATTTCTGCTTTACAACTTCTGATTTTACGCTAAAATCTGCCACAAAAGCAAGTATTATTGCCATACTCTATTTTATGTATTATAACAAACCTTTTACCAACTCCTGAAGTGTTTCTGTTACTGGTTCAGCTCATTTTTGAAATTTTCAGTGCACTGTGTGAAACTTCCTCATGTGTAGGAATCTATGTGAGGTACTTATAGGGACCCTATTTGACTTAGCTTCAATTTATACTTAATCATTGCTTCTGTAAACTTAAGCCATTTTCTCATTTGTTCCTGAAATACCTCTATGTTGGACAGCATTGTAAATGTTAATGTCTATGGTCTTAAACATTTTGCTTACCAAGTGTTTATTCAGCTTTTATTGTTTTTTTCCCCCTTTCCATTTGTTCTAATGTTCTATTATGGCATTTAACCTTTAGTATTTTAAACTTATTTTTAATGGTGAAATCTTTTGAGTGAATGCATGCTCAGAGATAATATATACATGCTTGTATACTTTAAACATAAATTAAAGCTAAGGCATCATATTGCTAATCTGTCTGTAGACTATTCCATGCCTGGATTGTTCTATTGCTTAAGCACCTGTGTCTATATTTAGACTCTAGGCAAGAAAAAGAGAGAGCAAATGCTCATGCTAAAGCTGTCAGATGTAAGTCTTAGGTTCTCCTAGGTACTTTATATTCATATTTTCCTAGCCAGAAATCCTGATTTTTAAATTATGAATTTACATTCGGAATAAAAATTAAACTGCTAAAACAGGGCAAAGACACCTTCAATAAATATTAAGTGAATTAATCAGTCCTGTTCTAGAACTTAAAATCTTGTAGAATAATCAAATAATAAGTTTACTTTTATTTTAAAATGCTTTTGTGCCAAGATATTTTATCAAATTTCCAAAATATAATTTTTTAATTATATAATAGTCTAACAAAATTTAAAATATGTGTTTATTAAGATATGAGCTTGAATGAATGCTAACTTTATATTTAGCAGATAATAGATGGCTGCTGATAGGGGAGCAAAACTATTTTAATTAGTTTGGCTTTTTAGAAATCATTGGTAATTTTAACCTTTCTCCTAGATGCCAGGATAGAAGAATTTGTTTATGAGAAACTGGATAGAAAAGCTCCAAGTCGTATAAACAACCCAGAACTTTTGGGACAATATATGATTGATGCAGGGACTGAGTTTGGCCCAGGAACAGCTTATGGTAAGTGAAAAGCAAAAAGTTCTAATAAGGGATATCTTTATATTTAGATTTATTAGAGCTGTTATTAACATATTAGAATTGATTTTAACTTCAAATTTATTATGTTAAAAATTATTGATGAAGTGAAAAAATAGGCAAATATGTACAGTTAAATTTAATATTTAATATATTTAAGCTTATATTTAGTTATTCAGAGAATTTGCATCTTTTTTAGTTCTAAAAAGTCAAATGAATTCTTCACTTGTACTCCCACTGATCTTATAATACCTATGTTGTAATAATTGTGATACTGCAATTATTGTTTGTATATTTCTGTTCATTTTTTTAAAAAATCTTTCTTAGGGCTCATTTTATATTAAAGGTACTTGACACATAGTGCTTGAACAAATTAATGCTTTTGTTATAATTTTGCAATAATGTCAGTAACCAGAAAATATTAATGATTGTTAGGATGTTTGGATTACATTTCATTTCTGATTTTCTCATGTATTTCCAACTTCCTATAGCTGTGGTTTAGTTACAACAGCATTATTAGTTGCTGCACAGACTTTAAATTAAACATCTTTATTGTTACTCTGATCTAATTTTCTCATAACATGAGACCATTACAGATTTCAGTAGTTTTACCTGTTGTTTATGTCTAATAATTGTCTTTATTAATACATCTGCAAGATACTGGTCTTTATTTGGGTATGAAATGGTAGGTATATATTTCTACACATAGTTCTGATTTACAGAATAGTTTACAAATTTTAGGATTAAATGAATTTTGAATTTCAGTAGTTATCTTTATGTCGGAAGGAAATAACCTAAATACCAATGCCACTAATCCCTTGACAGGCTTTTTTAGATACACAACTTGAAACTTCTGCATTATATTGAAACTTCTATATTATGTTCTTCAGAATCTAATTTTTAAGTCTGAAAATGCTTAAACTTCAAAATAAAATTATTTCTGAATTTAACTGTTAATTTTTGGAAAAGCATTATACATTAAACAGATGTTTTATTGCCTGCTTGTGCCAGCTCAGTTAGATGCTGGGATCATAAAGGTATGTAGAAGAGACTCAACAGCCCCTTCCTTCAACAGGCTGAAAAAGATTTTAGCAGAGCATGAACATGAGTAAAGGCTTATAGATTTTCTTCCCATTTAAATCTGTTTGCACCTCTAGTAATTCCAGTGAATGTACCCTGGTTATTAGAATTGGGCTTTGTGAACCTATTACCTTATTAGTAATTAATAACTAAAAATTGAGTATCCCAGGCATGGGCTTAGCATTATATAGTATATATTTTTACATATTACTGAAGTAAATTCTCATTATGTTCTGCATTTAAGATAAATTATATTACCTTCATTTTAAAGACAGGGAAACAGGTTTGGAAAAGTTAAATAATTAATCCACAATCACATAGCTAGAATAGTAATTCAAATGAAGATCTGTCTATATCCAGTGACAAAGCTCTTAACTACTATCCATATTACCTTCCTTACCAGTCAGATCCAAGCTTATTCTAACATGAAGAGCTTAAGATCCACAAAGCTAAAGCTTATTAGAAGTAAAACTAGAAGTGGAACCCTGATATTGGGATTTCCTTTCTTTCTATTCCACTTTCTACCACTACTTTCCTACTGTACTTGTCTTATTTAAGTATCAGAGTATATATATTGCAAAAGCATGGATTTGTTTTAACTTATTGGTATGAACTATTACTTTTAGATATTTGAGATTATAAGTGCAAGAATGTAGAAACAGAGGACAAATTGTGACTTGATGTCTTGTAAGCATTATACTTTTATAAGTATAACCATAGTCACCCCTCAGTATCCATTGGGGATTGGTTCTAGGCCCCCCCCCCGACCCTAAGGATACCAAAATCCATGGATACTCAAGTGCCTTGTATAAAATGGCACAGTGTTTACATATACCTATGCACATCCACCCTTATACTTTAAATCATCTGAATGTAAATGCTATATAAATAGTTGTTATTGCTATATTTTTTAGGGAATAATGACAAGGGGAAAAAGTCTGTACATGTTCGGTACAGAGGCAACCATCTTTTTTTTCTTTTCTTTTTTTTTTAAATGGTAACAGGCCCTGCTGTGTTGCCCAGGCTGGCCTTAAACTCCTGGGCTCAAATGATCCTCCTGCCTCAGCTTCAGAGTAGCTGGGACTACAGTCACATGCCACCACTGTCCCTGGCTCCTCAGCCATCTTATGTTTTTCTGAATATTTTTGATCTGTGGTTGGTTGAGTCCATGGATGCAGAACCCATAGATACACAGGGCCAACTGTACATTATTTGAGTTGTGACCATAAATATTTTGGGGTAGATCTGCCCTCTTTAGTCCCATTGGTAGAATTGGTACAATTATCTATGTTACAATAGGAAGTTCATCTTTGTCTCCTTCATTTAGACATTTATACTCTTAAATTTACTTTTAAAATAAAACTACCTTAATTACAGTAATTCTATTTGATTTTATTTAAGCAAACAAGTAACAGTTAACTTTTAAACAGACCAAATTGCTGATTTATCTTTACATAATTTTATTTTCTGATATTACCAGACAATGATTTTAAAAAATTATTTTCCTTTGCAGGTAACGCCCTTATCAAATGTGGAGAAACCCAAAAAAGAATTGGAACGGCAGACAGAGAACTGATTCAAACATCAGCCTTAAATTTTCTTACTCCTCTAAGAAACTTTATAGAAGGAGATTACAAAACAATTGCTGTGAGTTGAAAAATGTCTCCTTTATTTAGTACAATAATTTAGATAATATAGTTACTCTTTTTAATGAGTAATTTGGCCTCTTAATGACTGTGTAGATGTAGTGGATTACAAAATTAAATAACCTGGGTAGGTGCAGATTTTTTTTTTTTTTTTGCATTCACGACTGCCAGCGCTTTATTGCCTATTTAGTAAACGCCTCTTGGCTGAAAACTTTTCCATCTTTTCCCCACAGGGGTTCAAGCTGTCGGCGTTTGCCATCCTATGGGATCCAAGGGTCAGGGTGGACGGGGAGGAAAGGGTTGTGTTGCCTCGACTCTCCAGCCTCCTCTACTTGTCAAGGAGTCTTGTTGCTGCATGGTGACATGGGCCATCCATACTGGGGCAGAGCTGGCAGCTCCAGGGCCTGGGTCTAAGGCACCATCTTCCACCATTTGAAGGCAAAGGGCACCCAGCGGACAGTAGCACAGGCACATATGTCTCCCATATCTGCCAGGTAGCAGTCGAAGTCTGATATTACAGGCATATATTAGCTCCTGGGTTTGTGTTCACCAGAACACAAAATTAAACCAAAATAAAGGACTCTGATACATTTACTCCGTTTGTGTATTCTGCAGTGTTATTCAGATGCTTTTATCCCTTTTCATTCATTACCAATCCTAAAAATCTATAGACAGGTTCCTGGAATGCTTATGAAAATATGGTCTCAAATATCACCATGTAGTGATAGAGAATGAAAATTTTCTACATTTTTGCAAAGCTGCTCTTTATTATAAATACTTCAAACTTTAATTTGTAGATTTCTTATTACAGTATATTATAGAAACTTTCAATATGTTCACAATGGATTTGTCTCTATATAAACAAGTATTTGGCTTGAGACAGAAGAACTACTAAGTTAAAGTATAATTTTAGAGATATTAGCGGCTGGGCACAGTAGCTCACACCTGTAATCCTAGCACTTTGGGAGGCTGAGGTGGGCCGATCATTTCAGGTTAGGAGTTTGAAACTAGCCTGGCCAACATAGTGAAGCCCCGTCTTTACTAAAAATGCAAAAAAATTAGCCAGGCATAGTGGGATTACAGGCACCTATAATCCCAGATATTCCAGAGGCTGAGGCAGGAGAATCGCCTGAACCCGGGAGGCGGAGATTGCAGTGAGCTGAGATTGTGCCAGTGCACTCCAGCCTGGGTGACAGAGTGAGACTCGGTCTCAAAAAAATAAAATAAAAATAAAAAAAGTTAATAGCTTGTCAGTGGGGTGAAATTAAGCAAACTTAATTATAATAAACTTACATATTATACAGAAGCTTGAAATTCCCTGAAGAATTCTAAGATACTATACTAATGTTTATTCATTATTCTGCAAATTTGAAATTCTGCTTTGGACTGGTTAGGTTGTATTTGGTGCTATGACACATTAAGAGTAGCCTGCGCAATCCCTGAGGTAGAACACTAGGCATCAAGGAACCTTGCCCCAGGCCCATACTTCCTTTTTTATAGGCACTTTCTGGATAATCTGAAACAATTCGAAACAGTTTTTCAGTCTGGCTATTAATGACTTTGGGGCTGCATAATTCCTTGTAGAGACAGACTGTCTTGTGGAATGTTTGACAGCATTTCTGGCTTCCGGCTAGCAGACACCAATAACATGCCTCCCCCCGTTGTGACAACCAAAATGGTATTGCCAAATGTTCCCGAGGTGGGGATAGGATCACAAAATATTAAAACTGATATTCCTTTGTTTCCATCATCACCTGCCATCTTTCCCAGACATTTATAATGTTTTGGTTATTTTAGATTTAAAACAGTAACAAGGGGGTGGGGGGACAGATACCTGAATGGTCACTTTATAGCCAATTTGGTAATCATAGATCTTTACCAAATGATACATATGTTTACTAGGGAATAGTACTTTAAATGTGTATGCTCTTACAGGATTTTAGCATCTTAGCCTTTTTTTTTTCTTTCTGTATTTATAGAAAGAAAGGAAACTATTGCAAAATAAGAGACTGGATTTGGATGCTGCAAAAACCAGACTAAAAAAGGCAAAAGCTGCAGAAACTAGAAATTCAGTAAGTAAATAGAAAAATATTTTTTATTAATAACTTTAAGATTTGTAAAATACTGGCCAGGCACAGTGTCTCATGCCTATAATCTCAGCACTTTGGGAGGCCAAGGTGGGTGGATCACAAAGTCAGGAGATCGAGCCCATCCTGGTTAACATGGTGAAACCTCTTCTCTACTAAAAATGGAAAAAATTAACCGGGCGTGATGGCACGTGCCTATAGTCCCAGCTATTCGAGGGCTGAGGCAGGAGAATCACTTGAACCTGGCAGGCAGAGGTTGCAGTGAGCCGAGATCCTGCCACTGCATTCTAGCCTGGCCAACAGAGCAAGACTCTGTCTCAAAAAA